GGGGGCAAAACCAAAAAACAATATTCCCAGAAAAAAAATTAGGGAAAAAATCTTCCCAGGCATAGTGCAAAAAAAATTCCTAGCATGGAAGATAAGCCTATAAATTTCACTTAAAAAAATATTTCCAGCCATCAAGTAAAAAAAAAAATTATTCTATAGGTGTTCAAAAAAAAATATAGTGCCTCTTAGAAAATCCCCCACCCCTTACTTTTCTAATGGCCGTCCCTAATATTGCTTGTCAAGCTAGGAGATATTGTATGGCTATTTGGTCAACCACGTTTTTTGTTTTTGCTGACTCATTAAGCTGCTTTAGATGACACACTATTACTGTCTCCGTTTAGTCGCATTGCGCCCTACTTTATTATTTATTGATTGGTTGCTAAATATATTGGCCAAAGTGGCAAAATTAACAAGGTCAATGCATGGTCAATTTGTCAATTCGTAGTGTCTATCATAGTTATTATTGTTTATCATAGTTATTAATAACCTGCAAATGTCAAGTTTAAAAATAACAAGGCTAAAGCCTAAAGGCCATGTTACACGGTACAATTTTTCTTGCAACTTGCAATGCAATTCTACTCTTGAGAGATGTTAATTATTGAAATCTGTGAAGAATTTTCGATATGTTGAGAAAACATCAGCGGAGTGTAATGAAGACTCGTATTTGGTAATTATACATATCTCTCAAGAGTAGAATTGCATTGCAATTTGCAAGAAAAATGGCCTTAAGTGGGCGGAACATTGTTTAAACTAGTTTTTCCTCAGGCCTTTATTTTTTTCACCTTTTCGCCCGCGCCTCTCTCCTCCGCCCGATTTTCACCTTTTATCGTAAGGCAGAAAAAATGATGGCCTGACATTCAGGTAACTGTATCTCGAATCTCGTGCCCAAACCATGCCCGTTCGCAAGTAGTTAGGCGAACGGGCAAAATCCGTTGTTAAACTCTCGTAGCGTGTGGTTCCAAAGGGTACTACAACACCCTACATTCCTAATACTTTATCCCTCCAGATACAGCTGAAGTATCACCCATGGAAGTACAGCACAATAATAGTTACTAATCGTCCCTCATGTTTATGCATAACTCTTATCCTCTTATAGGGTCCTTATATTGATGTTCATAAAGACATGAAAAATCAACCGTAACCTCATTAACGAATATCCTAATAGTCATTAGTAGCAAAAAGCAAACCCGCCTTTTCATTTCAACATGAAACTCCGCGCGATTTATTGTCTCGGTAGCTGTGATATTAAAAAGTGACAGCAAACCTCGAGAGGTTTAGTAAAAGACCTTTGTCGCTGTGCGCCTCGGGACTTTTACTAAACCTATCTTGGCTTTCGGGTAATTTAATCACTAATCGACGTGAATGGTTATAATAAATTTTGTGCTCAAATCAACGACCGTCTTGAAAATCAGTTCTTGCTATAGTTATGAAAAATTATAATCCTCAAATTTTCAGCGTCACAGGATGTCAACACGTCACGCGTTGATCTAAAACATTAATATAACGTTTGTTTTAGTGAATGCTTCACTGATTTCAAAATGTCTGAGGTAGTAACCGGTCTTGTGAAACTTACATTTGGCTTTTTAGCGAACAAAATTCGCAGTGGAATTGCAGAACGTTTGAAAGATGGCGATGCCACAGACGAAGAATGTCGGCGCTTGATCGTCAGAAAACTTGACGATATCAAAAGTAAGCTTGATGGTTTGGCAAGAAAGGATTTACTGAGTAGCTTTTGTTTTCTACAAGAAGGACTCACTGCACTATATCTGTCACTATTTCAATCGGATTCAAATGAGAGTGCAACAGAATCGACCTTAGTTAAAGCTGTGTCATCCCTATGGTCATTCAGAGACACTGGTTTTGATTCTCCCATCAACGAAGCTGTTGCTCTTATAAATGCCATCACTTCATTGGAAATACGTTCAAACGACCACTACAAGTCTGCCATAAAATCGTTCGAACTCGCGCGTGAAAAAGCAACCGAAGCGTTCTGTAACGAAGCGTTGTCCATCGAAGACCGAATTCAAGCGTCGCAGATAAGAATGATGGCGAGAATTTTAGAAAAATTGGAACACCCAGAAGCAAGCGCTAGCGATTGCTTGCAGTACCTTCAACAGCTTCAAGATATCGGAGCTATTCAAGAAATATTTTCCGTTCTGATTGACGGAGGAATCAAGTCGAGGTTTAATAAAACGAAGCGACTTAACAATGCCGCGTCAGTTCAAGTTATGAATCAAGTATTGTTTGAGTTCGTCAAAAAGTTTACGAAACCATCATTGAGCGCTAGGATTTCTGCCTGGCCGACGATTTTGCTAGGTGAGAAAACTTACCATCCCGTGCTTGGAGAAGATCGCATTATTGAAAAACTTAAAGGGTCTGGTATGCAAGTAATGTCACTGTGTTCAGATTTTACATTTGATAATAAAATTTATTCTGGATATTATTCTGTTGTCAACAGCAAGGGAAACATCGTTGGACTGTCGAAGGATGCAAGTGCTTTTAAAATTTTTAAACCTACAGGGGAGAGTCGTACCCTGTGTGAAGCTCCCAGGGAAGAGCGTGTGTCAGAACGCTACGTTGCGGCGATGGATATTGATGCCGAAGATAACCTATATGTCATCACTAGATTCCGAGAAGGCAATGGTCAATCATGGAGTTTTAAGTTGTTTATCTTTGATAAGAATGGAAACGAGAAGCTTGAGGCTGCGTTACCTTTTCAGCAAAGCTCTAGACAAGCAGTGTGCATGGCAATAAACAAGGACGGGAAGATTGCTATTTTAAATTGCGAGGGCAAAATCCTGTATATTTGTAACGTACGTGTGAAACTCAATTCGTTTAAAGTCGACAAACGTCTTTCTCTCAACGAATTATCCATCAGGGGCCGTTTACCGAATGTGAGCGTAACGTTTTCAGATTTTAATGGCACAAAAATAATTGCCACAAATTACAATACTGTTTATATCTACACAGAGAACGGACGGTTGCGACGCAAAAATGAGATACCCGAAGAACATGGATTCATTGATTCAGTTGCAATTAATCACGTTACAAATCGTACTCTAGTTAAAACGCATCATTCACAAGGATCTAGTCTGCTGTATTTTTCAGACACTGGAGAACTGATAGACAGTTTATGTTTGGGGAGTAGAGCATGGATTAGACATGCTGTGGTAACTTCCCACCGGAATGGCACAGTTGCTATAGTTGGCAAAACAGGAGCAGCTTTAGTTCAACTGTAGTAAAATCACGTACTTGTATGATGCATGAGAATGTTGAAAAATGAGCTGATCATAAACGTCTTATTATATATGAAATATTAAACTGATGCGTGGTAAAGCACAGTGCAGTTTTGACTTTTGTTATTTTCATATAGATAAAAATAGATCGCTTACTAGACACACTATATCGATTGAAATACAACGAACATGCATGCAGTTACCAATTAGGTTGATGAACTAAGTTAATTAATTGATGTGTAGCACTGGTTTGTCTTTGTAATTTTTGTGTTTAAAAATATATCGCTATAATTAACAATTATTGGATGAGGTTTTTGTGATATGCGGAATTATCAAGGTCGAGGTAAGCGTTATCCGCCGAGCCTGATAACGCTTACCGATCGAGACCTTGATAATTTTTGCCGCTTGCTATAATATCACATGAGGCTCATTTGCAGATAACTCGGTTATCTGCTAGCAGATAACTGAATTTTCCGTAGGTTGCGTGATTGCGCAATTTAACTGTAAGCTCTAAGCCAATCAAATTGCTTTTACCAACTACAATGTATAATGATAAAAATTAAACAATATATCATTAAAATACAGCGAGATTTAAAGACATAGATGGGACCAGGTATAACAAAATGTGAATGTCAATTCCACTCGAAATTTCCATTTACCAATCATATACAACCTGTCGTCTTCGGCTCGAACTTCTGATACAACACGGCCTCTCAATGCAAAGGACTTAAACGTGCGCTCTTCCAAACGTTTTTATTATAACCAACAATACCTATTATAAGGGTGACGCGCAGAAAAATGTAAAATGTTCCCCTGTTTGATTTGAAATAGCGAAAAAAGTAGAACATTTACCGTATTCAGAAGTGGCTAACTTAAATTTTGATAGGTCATGCATGCACACGATTTCATTGACTATTTACCAAGATATCAGCGTTTAATAAACTTGGGTAAGCAGTTTCGCAATCAATGAACTGCATTTAGGCGAACTACATTCAGATTCCGTTTTATTTTTAATAACAAATCTTTTTTTATTAGGAAATGCATGTTCGCCGCATGCAACGTTTTGCTCCTGAAAGAATTGATGCAGTCGAATTGAAGGAATCTTGAATCATTTACAGCTCGAAGTTGCGGCATGCTAAAACAACGCTAGCTTCACGAAGCTGTCTCAAATTGGTTGGTTGCTAAATTATGTGGCATACTCCAAATTTGATATTTCAACCAGCCATGCAGAAAAATACTTTCAAATCTGAAAGCGAGGGGCAAGGCTTATCTCCGCGTTTACTCATCACTACACGTAGCTCGCCCAGGAAATAAACTGGCGATGTCATGTCCAGCGTATAATGGTATCAAATTAGTTCAATAGGCCATTTTTGACTAATTTTCGACTTTTTTTGAAAATGCTTACGCAAGTTTAATATTTCGTGTCATAATATGAGTCAATATTTCGTGAAATCGCATGTATGACCTATCAAAATTTAAGTTCGCCGCTTTTGGTTATATATACAGTAAAAGTTATTTGAGCGAAACAACGAAGTAGACAGGGACGCCGGAACGATGTGAAGGCAGGGGGGGGGGCAGATTTTCGTGAAAGGGCACTTTTGAATTGTTATATACTAAGAGATGTTTGCAAAACATCGGGAGTTGAACTTTTACTAATCATGTTTTCTATTTTTGGATGATAGGGTTGTGAGAGGGTTCTCCGCCAGGCGATTGTGCTATTCTTGAAGCTCGATGACTGCATTTCTTGCGTTTTCTGAAGCAAATTCGTAAAAGAATTGCACTAACATTTCTGACAATCGCTATTTCGCAAAGCCAATCCTTTAAAATTGAAAGGGCACCTTTGCCCCCCTTGCCCCTCCTGGTAAAGGGCAACGGGGGTGCGGCTGCCCCTCCTGCCCCCCAGTTCCGGCGTCCCTGGAAGTAGAGTTTTGGAGCTTTAAAATTCACACTGCCAATAAAAAATTGTAAAAAATTCCGAAAAATCACGTCGAAGTTGAGGGTTGGAAAAAAGATGAAATTCCATATTGAATTGTAAAAAATGAAAATTTTGTAGCATTCAACATCGCTTTAGTTTATAACTTTTAAGTTTTATGTTTCACCAAAGCCCCGGACAAACAAGAATGAGAGTTCAGCTCTGATGAGAGTTGGGCACGAAATGTTACATGCATGGGATCGACGTTTGGAGCTAGGTTTGACGAGTCTTCCAACTATATATGTTTAACTTAAATAGGATACAATCATGCATATAGCTGTTCTCAATGACAAAAAGCTGCTTTGTTTCGTGTAAGGACAAAACACCTAAGGAATTTCAGCGCATTATTGTTTATAAATTCTCCTGTCCAGGCTGTTCTAAATCTTACATAGGAAAGACCGACAGATGCCTTCACACAAGACTCAATGAACATGCAACAACTGGCAAATCTGAGATTTACAAACACATCAACACTTGCGAACACTTCACCTACATCACCAACCTAATGAACCTTAACATCAACGATTTTGACACAAACGAACAGTTTGAACCAACACTATTCCTTCTCCACAACTCCATCATCCTGGACCAGGCAAAACACTGGCCAGTGTTACTATTCAAAAAAGCACTCGCCTGCATTCACACGCAGAAACCGGAACTGAACCATGGCATCAAAGACAAAACGTCTCGAGAACTATTGGTTTTCTACTAGTAGATATTAAATTGCAAACTATATCCTGATCATGAGCATGACGAAATAAAAATAAAGTCTAAACGTTGAATAAAAAATTTCGTCTTTATTCGGAGTTACCGTTGTTGTGCTGTTTTCAATAGAGAGTTTGACAAATACAACGGCAACGGCAACATGCATGGTCATCAACAATAGCATTAATCCTCAAAGACAAAGGCGAATGTAAATTACATGGTCTTATTAAGCGTTGTGCAATGCCGTAGTTGTTCAAACTAGAACGTGATTTGCATCATTTTCACGGTGCATGCCTACGGCAACAGTTAATTCGTTCGATGTTATTTGAGGTGTTTTATTTCAATTCGCGGACTATTTTAATTAAGGGCTGTTTGAGAGAAACAGGAATACTAAGTGTAGTAAGTAGTAACGTATACTTTGGCTCAAAATAATCAAATACAACAATATAGGCAATTATATTTTCCCCATTGCCGTTGTCGTTGCCGTTCTAGGTTGCCAAACTCTCTAATGCTCTCTCGATCAACGCGGCTATCAAATCAACCAAGATCGCTTCAAATCTCACGCGCTCTCAGGCTCGTTTGTTCCGGGCTGAAGAGGTTTTGGCAACGGTAAAGATAAGATCCTGACAAGATCTTAAGGGACAAAACATTTTGTTCTATTTTTATAAACAGCTAATCCTGTTCTTATATAGGAAAAGGCCTTTATTCCTCGTCTTGCGCGTTTCATTGATGTCATGCATATAAGTGCGTCATCCTCTCTTCATTTCAAAACAAGATGAAGATAGAAAAAGTTTCTTTGTATAGCTTTCAAATGTCTTCTAAACAAGATTTCCGGAGTAAAACACAATATCATTCATAATTAAAATCTGACATTGTATTACCGCGAGCGACATAAAGTTGACTGACATATCGACGATCATTACATATATATATATATAGAAATCAAAATATACGCTACTGTTAAACGGGAATAAAATAAAAGTGAAAAAAACCGGAATCATTTTTGAAATAGGCTTAAGGATTGAAAACTCGTGTCTGCATGTACGCCGACTCGCTGATATATCATCGTATTTGCACTGCGTGACCTACATGGGCCTCAGTCTTGCTTTGGCCTATGTTGATTGAAGTGCAAACAATGGACTATACATTATAGACTAAATTTTGATCTAAACAAGTCTAGACAACTTGAAGTCACACAATCAAGCTGAAGAATCACAGCTTGAAAGAGCATCACAAAATTAGTAATATTCCAAAGTTTCGTTGCGAAATGTTGTAAAATGCGGATAATATAGCCTTGCGATTAAGTTTGCCGTTTTTCAGTCATTTTGTATTACAAACGGGAAATTGACAGCCCCAAAGGGTACTGGACTGTCAATTTCCCCCGCGTAATGCAAAATGACTAGTGAAAAACGGCAAACTTCGCAATGCTATATTATCCGCATTTTACAACATTTCGCAACGAAACTTTGGAATTGAATATTACTAATTTTGTGATGCTCTTTCAAGCTGTGCCTGTGATGAAATTTTTGGCTAGACTTGTTTAGATCAAAATTTAGTCAAAAATACTATATAGGCCTGATCTAGGCAAGGAAATCTTGGCAAGGAAATCTTGGCCGATTGTACGACAGAGGATATTTAAAAAAAAATCTATCAATGTATATACAGAGAGCTAAAAAGCATAGTAAAATGTAAATTTAGCGGAATGTGTTGAACTGCGAAGGAGCACTGAGTATAGCTCTCTGTAGCACCCGAGTTTTTAAGTGCACTCAACAAATATAAAAATATATTGGCTTACAAACATAATATGATGAAAACAAGCCGTTAAAAATGATAAAGACGTCGTCCAAGAGGGAGATGACTTTAGCTTATTGTCTGAAAGGCTATTTAATTGTTATGTAATGAACAGTTATTCATTCATTGTATTCAGTTTTGAACATCAATTTTTCATGAGTGATTCTTTCACGATAAGATTCTAAGGACCAAAACAAATAGTGGGACAACAATCCACGCACTGCCCTTAGCGGATTTGTAAATTCTAATTAAATTTTGACCGAATGTAAAAATACAATATTTTTTCAGCTAAACTTGTCATTCCTCAAACATTTCAGTAATTACGACACCAGATGTGTTTCGTAAGTCTAAATGAATTTGCAGGACTTATGACAGAAAATCATACTGACGTCATCTAAATGTTTGAAGAAAAGTCTTACGCTCGTGTTCCAAGATCCGCCATGTAAAGTGTAGTGAAATGTATCTCATCGTAATATTAAATCCTAAGAAAACTAAAGCCTCTGCGGAGGAGAGAGACAAGGGATTATATTATAATAAAGACTTATTATTATTATTAGCATGTGCATTGCGTGATTTGATACATTGAAAGTTCGAACGCATCAAATCATGCCCACAAATGCTATACTAATATTAATTGTAATATTAATAAGTCGTTATTATCCAATTTCAGTTAAAAAGTACAATGGACATAAATTAAAACATTAGTTGGTTAATATACTATAATATATAAATGTAAAATGCATCAACATATGTAATTTTGCATAAAAATCAATGATAATAGAAATTTCTCAATTGCTCTTAATTGTTCCACGCTTATTTAGAAGTGAAAGTGCTCTGAAAATAAAAGATGCTCTGAACGACCATGTCTTTTTGTATGGGGAAGCAGGCTTCGGCTCGAGTTTGTATATCAGATAAAGATCGGCTGCTCATTTTTTAACAAGTACTTGTCATCTCTTCTACGGGACAGTTCCATTTCAGGTCATCCTGATGCCATACTCCAAGTAACGCGTGTGCGAGCTTACTTTTTCTATAATCACACTGTCTACCTCATGATTAGTCGTCTCCCACACGACAACTTCACCTGCGTACAATCATAATTTACATGTGTTTATGAAAAGATGATGCGGAACGGAAATTTTAACGACCACATTAACATTATAGAGCGTGGGAGACATAACAGAACCTTGGGAACTCCAGCAGGAGAAAATTTAATTGACAATAATGTCCCCCCGCGGGGTTAACTGTTGACTCCTAAGTCCTACCCTCTACAAAACTCCACGTCCAGAGTAAGAAACCTTTTGTCACATTAATTTCCGCCAACTTCCTTGGTAATATTCCGTAATCCACAAGGTCAAAAGCCTTCCGGATGACGATGCCTACATATTTTTGGCATGTTTATATACAATAATAATTTTAGACAGCCAATCCGGTTATTAGAGACAATTACCATAAAAAGTTGATTGGCTGTCTAAAATACGAATTTTTGATTAGTTTGAGCACTTCTGTGACGTGCGTAGTATTTAATAGGGTTCGTGTGGATGAGCACTTCAGTAGATTCAATAATGTCAGCGATAGTGAGTGGTGTTTTGAAACTTACAGTTGGAGTTCTAGCGAACAAGGCTCGCAGTAGCCTTGCAGCACATTTGAAAGATGGCGATATTACGGACGAACAATGTCGAAACTTGATCGTGAAAGAACTTGACAATATCAAAAGCAAGCTAGATGGCTTGTCAAGAAAAGATTTACTGAGTAGCCTTTCTTTTCTACGAGAAGGAATCACTGTACTATCTAAGTTTCTTCTTGAATTGGAATCAAATGAGAATACGGCAGAATCGTCCGAACGAGTGACCTTAGTTGAATCTGCGTCATCCGGAGACACTGGTCCTGATTCTGCTATCAACGAAGCTATTGCTCTTATAAATGCTGTCTCGTCGTTGAAAATACATTCGAACGACCGCTTTAAGTCTGCAATAGAATCGTTCAAGCTCGCGCGTGAAAAGGCAACCGAAGCGTTCAATAACGAAGCGTTGTCCATCAAAGATCGAATTCGAGCGTCACAGATCAGAATGATGGCGAGAATTTTAGAAAAATTGGAAGACCCAGAAACTAGCGTTTGCACTTGTCGGCAGTACCTCCAAGAGCTTCATGATGTGGACACTGTTAAAGGTATGTTTTCTGTTCTGATTGACGGAGGAACGATTAAGTCGCTCATCAGTAAAAAGGAACGACTTGAAAATGCCTCTTCTGTTCACCTAATGAATCAAGTATTGTTTGATTTCGCCAGAAAGTTCACGCAATCGCCACCGAGGATTTTTGACTGGTCCACGATTACGTTTGGTAAGAAAAGTTACCATCCCATATTTGGAGAACCTGGATTTTTTCGAAAACTTGAAGAGGCAGGTGTGCACGTTATGCCACTGAATCCAGATTTCACCTTTGATGATAAAGTTTTCTCGGTAGATTCTGTTGTAAACAGCAAAGGCCAGATTGTTGCACAGGCGCAGGGTGAAGGCACTCTTAAAATTTTTAAACATTCAGGGGAAAGTCGTACTCTAAGTGAAGCTCCCAGGGAAGAGCATGCGTCAGAATGCTACGTGGAGGCGATGGATATCGATGCCAAAGATAACCTATATGTTATCACTACATTTCGAGAAAGCGATGATGAATCACGGAGTTTTAAGTTGTTTATCTTTGATGAGAATGGAAACAAAAAGCACGAGTGTCCGTTACCTTTTCACTATCAAAGCTCTACGGAAAAAGTGTGCATGGCAATAAACAAGGACGGGAAGATCGCTATTTTAAACCGCGAGAAGAGTTTCCTGTATATTGGTAATGTATGTGCGAAGCTGAATTCGTTTAAAGTCGACGATTGTCTTCGTCTCAACGAATTATCTATCATGCGTGTGAACTTTAGGTTCGCTGATTTTAATGGAACAAAAATAATTTCTGCAGATAAGTATGCTGTTTATATCTGTACAGAAAACGGAGAGTCAGAACAAAAAATTAAGATACCTGAAGAACATGGATTGGTTGAATCAGTTGCAATAAATCACTCCACAAAACGTATTCTGGTTAAAACGTGTCAGTCATCGGGACGTAGTCTGTTGAGTTTCTCAGACACTGGAGAGCTAATAAACAGTTTATGTTTGGGTTCCAGCGAATGGATTAGATATGCTAAGGTTACTTCTCATCCAAACGGTCCAGTTGCTTTAGTTGATGAAACTGGAGCAGCTTTACTTCAACTGAAGTAAAACACTTATGCATGAAAATGTTGAAAATGAGCTGAACTCATGAACTTAATTCAATAACTGATTTACATAATAATTGGTTGGTATAATTTTGAGTAAAGTTACCGGTTGTTATTAAACACAATCACACATTCATTAGGGTGCGGGGGAATATTGAACAATGGCTCTACATTTATGAACTGAATTGAACTTATACAATTAATTGATTATTGTGTAGTATAGTTTTGACTTTGTAACATACAATAAATACATTTTTTGACACAATATATTCATTAACATACAGCGAGATTTAAAGACAGACCTATATTTGATTACTATGACAAATTATGATGAAAAATGACGATCCAGAGTTAGCTACTATACTAAAACGTAAGGAACTGCAGATAGGGATTCAACTACATGAAAAATACATGTAATAAAACGTTGACTTTTCGAGCGAAGGCCCTTCGTCGGAACGTTAGTATAAATGGCCTTCGCTCAAAACGTCGACGTTTTACTTGTATTTTTCAAAGCCAAGGTCTGAGTTAAATCCCCTCCATCGGCAGTTTTGCTATAGCCTATGCTCTAAATCTAAGGCCAAATTCAAATAAGCTGAACAAAGAGTTTAAATTCAGCGATTGGCGACGTTTGAACTTGGCCTTAGCTAAAAGTCAACATGCATGGTCATGGCGAACTCCACTATGACGATAGCATGCATTCACTGGAACCCAATTTTTTTTCTTCCAGTTTAGTGATAAAAGCAGATTTATTTTTGAAGTGGGCCAGAGCTCAGAGGCTGTGCTTTCCAGTGAAGCATTTTGTGTGCGCATGTGTACCCACGGAAAAGTGTTAATCTTTCTAAGTTTTATATTTTAAGTACTAATTAGGGACCGGTCATTATTTATGGCGGGGGTGGCACCGAAGAGAAATGTTTTTGTTACCCAACCTCAAATATCAATTAAAAAACAACTATATACCCACCCCTGGCCAAAATGTTTACAAAAGGATACCATTCAGTTGTCACACATGCCCTTTACCACTCCTGTGACATGAGTTTGATACTGTATATATAACTGCTTGTGCGATTTTCTGCAGTGTGATGTTTCATGTTGTCTGTACATGTACTTTTCTTTGAGAAACGATTTGCCTCCTGACAAATCCCCCCCCCCCCGCCAAAACTAACGATCTCTTTCCATTCATTCAGTTATCTCATAAGTAACATATAAATGGATTTAAATTTTTACGTGCGTACACGCAGTATATGAAAAAAAACCTCACTTAATTAACTGGAATGTAGCCTTTAGGTGAAAAACTCGTGCCTGTACGCTGACTCGATCGCCGAGGACATTTAGTCATAATTAAGTCTTGCCTGGAAAGCGGCCTGAGTCTTGCTTTGGCCTATAGTCTATAGGTCTGATCTATAGTTCAGAAAATATTGGCCGACTGCGGCATGGATCATTTTAAAGAAATTCATCACTGGATAAAATGTGTTGAACTGCGATGGAGCACAGAGTATAGCTCTCTCTAGCATCCGGGGTTGTCAAGTGCAGTACTCAACAAATATAAAAAAATGAACATGCCGCCACAAATGACAAAGACGTCCTAGAGGGAGATAACTAGAGAAAACATTGAATAGTAACTTTTTGTTTTTCTTCAGCTTATTGTCTGAAAAGCTATTAATAATTGTTAAGTAATGAACAGTCATTGTACTTTCGAACATAATTTCTCACGAGTGATCTGTTCACGAATATACCAGCTCAGATTTATCTACAAAATTGTGTTCAATAATAACTGCCGGACAAATTGTTGGCGTGTACAATCAAGTATAGACTTTGCATGCACATTTTCTTCCTTCCTGTAACTTCCCCTCCCACCAACACAATGTTGAGGAAACAATTTGAGCTATATTTAAGCTGTCTGCCTTTGTATCTGTTTGAGTGGGAGCTTCTTGTCTCAATAATGTTTGCACGCGATTGCAGGCCTGACCTCGCCTAAAGCCCCGCCGCCCCGGTCAAACGAGAAAGATAGTTGAAGAGAGTGAATTGGCAGTCACAAATTACAGACGACATATCAAGCTCTAAATTAACAAGATAAAAGTTTGATTGAGTGTTCCAACCATGTTTTCACTTAAGTAAAATACATGATAGCGTTGGGAAAGAATTGAGAACAACAAACCATGGATCGCGTGACAAGTTGCAATTGCCTCGTATTATTTAGCATCTAATATAATTATATCGAATAAACACACACACATCAACATGTTGCTTGAAGCACTTTGTGTTTATTGCTGCTTAAACGCTCGAGCTAAATGCTCTTACATAGTAAAGAATAAATATACTCTACTTATTCCAAGATCTGAACCTTTAAGATCTTGGTGTGAAGATGAAAAACCCAACCTGCATAAAACAGGGCGGAGTATTTAAAAGTTCTCTTGAATATTGTCACTCAATAACATTCGTGTTATCAATTCCTTTACAGATTATTAATACGATA